TTCCGGACCAATAACGATCTTACCTTACGGCCTCATTGACAACAGAACACCAATCTATATAGTAACGAGCTTAAGCCACACAAATGATACATGGAGAGCAATGTCCTTCCAGAGAAAATTTCACGTACACTGAAGTACAAAGTTATATTTTAGTACGTCTACTAATAAGAAGCCACTAACCTGCCGTTGTTTGAGAAACACCAACGAAGGAGCTGAGCCTGTCCATGGATTGACGCATCTCTCCCAGTTGATCTTTGATATCCTGGGCTTCCTCTCTAACTGTTGTTTCTAAGCCCCCAACTTTCTCTTCTAGTAGCTGTGTATTATCTTCTATCCCTCGATCGACAACTTTCAAACTAGTCTCCAAACGTTCCATGCTATCTTGCATTTCTTTAGTTGTAGACTTCAGCTCCGCTATGAATTCCTTTACTTCTATATCGTTTCTGTACCACTCCCGCAGTTCCTGGGCATTTCTTTCATCCTCTGCTGTAAGGGGATTCCTCAAAAAGTCCAAAATGGCCATTTGCCATCCACGTTTCTTTGATGGACTGATCTGACCCGCAATTCTAACAAGAGCCTCGCTGAGATCTTGCCAAAGTGGTAGAAACTCGTCATCTGTAATTTCCATGCTTTGGTTTACGTGACCGTACACCGTGTTTCGGTAATATTTAATTCTTGCCAAATCTGCAGCTAAACTGTGATCTGTACTTGTTGGCAAGGCATCCCATCCTGTGGTAGGAGGGGTGAGATTGCATATTGTCCTTAGCAACCTGAACAGCAAGGTAACGTCAAAATCTGCCGATTTGCCATACACCCCTGGGGAAGGGTACAGACAGTCCCACTGTGGCTTGGTAAGCTTTGCTGATCTGAGTTGTTTCTCTGTGGCTGGATTTTTCAGTATTGCGGGAAGATTGCTTGGTGGAAAAATCAAATCAAAAATCTCTCTCAGTAGTGTAGTCCCTCCGCTTATCAACAGTCGTGAAATACGTTGAAGATTTTCCTTTCGTTTTGTCGAACGCAGCACCTCATCTGGGTCTGGGGCGGTGGCCATATTGTACTTCAGTCTGAAGCCAAAATGTCAAGTTTTAGTTTTAGTTAGTAAGCTAACCATATCACTAGGCCACTGCACGCGCCTCCACCTTTTGTCGAGTTAAAATTGTAATGTAAGTCACACAGGGAAAAAACGCAATGAAAAACACAATATTTGATCATATCTATTTTTAGAAAATGAAAAGAGCCAATCATTAACAGCCCACTTTAATAATTAAGCTTCGATCCTTTCACCATTTCACCTTACAGACTTCATGTATCGTGTTATTTCCATTATTATACATTGAACTCACTATCTCTTTTCGGATTGGCCGAAAGCGTACCGTGAATTTTCGAAATCAGCGCCTGTGACGTCATAACTGCAGATTATACAATAATCATGTCAAGGACACTCAAGGTCACGGCTAATCATGTCATGTATGACCGCGGTGCATGATTTTAAGGGTAGTCATGTCAAAGTCGCGCGCTTTGTGTTGCTTGCCGCAGTAAAGAGGCAAAAACATGACTTCCAATTTTTTTTCCGTTCAATGTATAATAAAACAATTATTGGATTCGGTTTTTGTGATATCCAGAATAATCAAGGTCTCGGTAAGAGTTATCAGTCTCAGCCTTCGGCTTCGGCTGATAACCCCTACCTCGACCTTGATTATTCTGGATATCACAAAAACCTCATCCAATAATTGTTTATTATCGAGTGCTAACCGTAAACAGGGTTATTCAGGCTAATTGTAGTGAAAGTCTACACTCCGGTCAGCCTGAATATCACTCCGGTTAGACTGCATATCACTTCGGTCAGCCTGAATATCTTTCAGGTTAGCCTAAATGATACTCTGGTTAGTCTGTTTACAGTTTAATAGCTCTCAATGATGGAAATGGTAACACAATCTCCATTTTACCCCCGATCCGCAGTCTGCGGTCCGCAGTCTTCGTTTTACACTGACCGGATCCTTTACATGTAAAAGTCAAATTCCTTAAATTTGTGTACGTGTCAGACCGTCAAATCCAGTCAAACGAAAATCGCTCAAATGACACACAAAAACCTAGGCGAAAGAACGACAGCAAGACAATATCTGAAACGTACTTGAAGCTTTCAAAGGAAAAACAGAAAGAGTTTTCAGATTTTGTTATCGAATTTTCAGTCCATACAAATAACCCCTACACATCTGTATACAAACTCTTAATATCAAGGACAATAATAAGGCACTATGGCGATAAGGTGTAAACGTGAATGTTTGTATTAATTTCAATAAATTGATTAGCCTTGCAGGAAGGGGGGATGGGTAGAATGAGGTAGGTACTCGTGAACACTACGTAAAACGTATTATATCTGCGTTACTTGTTTGATAACTTCATAAAGCTATATATTTGTTTCAGAAAACCCCTTACTCTCCTTGTGGTACTTTTCTCTTTTAAACAAAACCAATATTCGTTTAGTCCGTCGTGCGTGACGCGAAAGAAAACCGCGAGAAAAAAATGGCCGTGCGAAATCCTGGGGGCGAGGAGCGCGCGAAAGGAGGGACTACCGCCTAAGCCAGAGAGTTTGACCTTTCACGGCCGAGTGTTATTTCGGTGTAGGATCTCTCATCTTGACAGAGTTTCAACCGAGAATTTACATTATGTATTTGACATGGGGATCATTCAACTGCGGTGAAATGTTTGCCGATAGCAGCGGAAAGTTTCAGGTGAATGTCCGGTTTCAAGACAATCTTTCAAATGGACGGCAGGAAGGCCAAGCCCCGGGGAGGGGGGTGGGTACTCCCTTGTCTGAGCTATATAGGTATGTGCGGCCCCAAAAGGGTATGGTTTTTCAGTCGTTTTGGTCATAAACAGGGTATCGATTTTAGCCTATTTTGGCCATTTTGGTCATAAATAGGGTATGGTTTTTGCACTCTAGCCTTGATATGGGTATGTTTTTAAGAAGAAGTCACTTTTTCATCATTATCGAAAAGAAAAGTAACAAAAGCCCTTCACAAATTATGTTTACGGTAACTTAACATTGGTCTGAACTAGGCGGAAACTTTTTATAACGCAGGTCTGAAACAGGGTTTTGATTTAATGGTCAGGTCTTAAATAGGGTATCGAATATTTGGTCAGGTCATAAAGAGGGAAGGGAATATCGCAGATTTTGGTCATAAATTGGGTAAGGGTTTTGGGAAGCGGGCCGCATACCACCACCCAACTTTTCTGGGAGTACCCTCCCTCCCGGGGGGGCAAAGCTCAGTGAATTTATATTCGCTGACTTGGACGATGCTGTTGGGTTGGAGGCGGAAAGCTTTGCCAAACAAAACGCTAGATAAATTTACATCTTTCCAAAGTCTGTTGGCAGATTTGCAAGAGCATCACGGCTTGCGCGATTCCAACGCTTCGATTTGCTGTGGTACCGCTTCGAATTTGCTTCGGTTCCAAAACATTCCTGCAAGACGTCAAAGCAAGAAATGTGTCTTTCGTGCCCAGTATAATAGTCGATGAGTAATCGATGGGTCATCGATGAGTAACAATTGACTTCAATAAGTTAATAATAAAATTTTTGTTGGGTTTAGAATGGCCCGAATTAAAGCTGTTTGTAGCTTCCTGTTTATTTTTCATGTCACGATTGGGCCACCCGTGCACAGTACGAATATATTTGACCTCAGGGGGGTAGTAGAAAGGCGAAGTTTAGCATTAGACCATTTTTAATTAACCAAACAAACAAAATGGCGTCCGGAAGGCTCTCTCAAGATGTTTCATGCCTACAATGTTTCCTACTTTGACGATTAGAAGACACCCTTATGGGACTCGAAATGGGATGAAATAAATCTAAAGAATGTTCCGGCGCGGAAAAAAGGGGACATTGAGCTCTTAAGTAACGAACCGTTCTTAAAAGTCTCAAGTGCAGCCGCATTGATTGCCTCGAAATTTAACCCGAACTACAGATTTCAAACAGCATTAAAACGGAGTGTTAAGACATGCGAGAGTCACAGCGGCTGGTAAATGTTATTTTTTGTTGATTTGTTTTATCATTTGAATTACACGCTGGCAAAAGCTGTATGATTTCGCTCGATCGATTTGCAATGAGTAATAAATGTTACATGTTAATTGTCGAACTGATTTGATAATTTCACCATACAAGGTCGTATAATTTCGATCGCTTAAGCCCAGTTTAGACGTCGTGCTTCTGCCGTGCCGAACTAAATTGCAATTTGGTTCGACTGTAGCACGACAGGAAATCAACTCTGATTCAGACGGTCGTGCCAGAGTCGAATCAAATCCAGGGTTTACTGAAGCCTCATAACAATTCTCCTCCCAACTCCCCGAGGGAACGAAATCTCGCCAAAACACATTGACATAATTTATGAATTTAGTTTGGCGCGACAGAAGCACGACGTTTGAATCGCTGCCGTGCC